CCACATTAATTTAACTTTTGTACCAGGAAACAAAACTGACGTGAAAAAGGATAAGCCAAAGGCATCATTACACATAAAATATGTATTTAACAAGATGTACAAGGATGTGGAAGAAGGTAAGCATTGAGTAGCAAAAAAGGTTGAATAAAATAAGAGTTGTCTCTCTTTATTTTGCATTCCAAAGTTCACTGAAAGAAAGTTTGTGATAGTTTCTTGTAATAAATGTTCTCAATAGATTTGCTGTGTAGGAAAATATTATGTGAGTGTAAGAAATGTTCAGCATGTGAGTGGTGGTGTGAGTGAGAATGTTGGCTCATGGTTTCAACTGTCGTGGATTCGTTTGGTAGCTGAAATCTCACTAATTATCTAAGAATATGTCTTGCTTATATAGGCGACCATAGGCTCCGAATCTCTGCGCGGGAAGAGTTATTCTTCACGTGCAGACAATCTGATTGGTTGGCATTGACCAATCAGCGAGCGAGTTTTGGGGAGACTCAAGAAAACTTCTGGGATCAGTTTCTCCTAAAAGCGCAAAAAATTGACAACATGAAAATAGAGCGATTACAAAACTGTTGCATTGCTGCAATTTGTAAATTGTCTATAATAACGTAGTGGTGATTTATTAACCAATGAATGCTTGTCGTTGTATGTGATTTGTATTTGTGTATGTAAGTATGTGTGTGCGATAGAGATTGGCTCAAACCCATTGCGGTTGATATGCCGTAAAATAAACCGAACCAAACAATCACAGGATCGCTTAACTGTATAGTTTGAATAAGTTCGGTGATAAGGCGCCATTTTACTATTGCTGTTAACATCCTGGTTTTGATGAAAATAGCAAAGATAGTGACGCAAATCTAAAAGAATCCTCGTTCAATGAAATAAACTTGTGCTGTCAAAAACCTTTGACAATAAAATTGTATTAATGATTATGCAATATATATGTGAAACGTTTATCGGGGACAGATGTCAAATTCCTAGGTAACGTAAAAATTTCTGGAAAGCCTTCCCTGTTTCTCCCAGCGTCTGAGGGTAAATATGCAATTGTTGCTAATGGGGTTGGGCGAAAGGAATAGAGGCGAGGCGCCCAGATCAAAGGTTGCGTGGCCGCCACGACCACCCACAACCGACTTGCAAACAGTATTAGCCCGTCCTCGGTTCTTTGCTCCTGCGACCCCGCCAAATAGCTATGTGTGGAATGTGGTTGACAGCCCAGGAGAAATTAACAATAGGATGAGATAGATAGATAGATAGATAGATAGATAGATAGATAGATAGATAGATAGATAGATAGATATGAACAGAATGAGATAGATAGATAGATAGATAGATAGATAGATAGATAGATAGATAGATAGATATCAGCTGAATTAGATAGATAGATAGATAGATAGATAGATAGATAGATAGATAGATAGATAGATATGAACAGAATGAGATAGATAGATAGATAGATAGATAGATAGATAGATAGATATCAGCTGAATTAGATAGATAGATAGATAGATAGATAGATAATAGACAGAATTAGATAGATAGATAGATAGATAGATAGATAGATAGATAGATAGATAGATATGAACAGAATTAGATAGATAGATAGATAGATAGATAGATAGATAGATAGATAGATAGATAGATAGATATGAACAGAATGAGCTAGCTGGCTGGCTAGCTAGCTCATTCTGAAAGAAAGAAAGAAAGAAAGAAAGAAAGAAAGAAATCATTTTGATCATTTATTGTAGATAATTGCGTGGATAAGCAGAGAAAATTGCTGACAGGATATTTATATTTTAATAATGCCTCTCCGCACTCGGTAGCCTCATTTAATTTGAGTTCATCGTAATGAGCAAGTCAACCTGTTGACATGACATTGGAGATGACATCCAGACTCTTTCTTCAACCCATTATCGCATTTCAAATCAATTGGAGGCTGGTAGAGGATGGGGGGTTCGGAGTTGCTTGGCTGACAATCCTATATTCCAAGTAGATGTTTTCGGTTGATACCTGATAGAACTTTCATTTATAAAAAGGCTGGTGTGGGTAGGGAGTGCGAGAAATGAATATTAACTCGAAAAAAAATTCATTTCAGTGCCAAAATCCAGAAGACCTAATTAAATTCTAAAATGTTATAGAATCCATTTTTTTTTTTTTTTAAATTCGACCCGCACATGCATTTAGTAAATAATTCTATATCGGATGTTGGGGTTGCAGTGTGGTGATTATCAGCGCCCCCCCCCCAAAAAGAAACTGTTGAGCCGTGTTCAAATTCCAGTCTGGTCTCCTTAAGAAAAGACATCAATCTATCTTGACTCCACAACACCAGACATGTGTTAAATAGCAGCATAGACTAAACTATGTAGCCTTGTCTGGCAACCACTCTAGGAGAATAAAATTCCGAATACCAAACCAAGAATGCATATCAGTTCACAGATAGTAAAAACAAAAGCGAAAAACCAGAAAAGGAATCTGTGGAGAGCCATATTCATTACGCCCTGAAAGATCGTGGCATCTCTATCTATGAAAGGCAGGATGTGTGTGTGTGTGCGTCTGTTGGATGTGAAAAAGTATTTGTTGTTAACATTCTTTTTTCATTCGGTTTTTCCAGTTACGAGTCCTTTTTTAAAGCTGATCGTTTTGTGTTCATTTTGTTTAGTTCTTTTTTCATAACAGATTTAATGTTTAGTATAGAGCTTAGGAAAAAATTCGCAGTGTGAGATAGGCAAGAAGTAAGGCATGTAGCAACATCAGCACGGCAAAGGCCACTCCTTTAAAGGCAAGGAAGGACAAAAATATTTTAAGTCAAGTGATAGCGATTGCTGTATGAGTCGTACGATTTTTGAATCAAGAACGTGCAACGCCGGGCCATGCTGCTAGTTAAAAAATATATTTGATAGTGTGTACGAAACACAGCTATTTATTATTTTGTATGGAAGTTGGCAGCTGATCTCTATTCTTACCGAGCTTTAACAGCTCAATGGTTTGGAAAACTGGTTAGACCCAGTACTTTCACCAATCGTGATAAATGAGTGTTCCCTCAAAAAAGCCACGTGATTTGACCGCCTCAACCCCAACCTCAAGTGAAACTCGAAATACGACCCATCGCTAAAGATGCTGGAAAAAATGGTCGGTTCCAGAAGGTCTGTACCGTTCCAGTAAGCACCTGATATCGTCCACCTTTACATGAGCCAGATCAGACCGAAAATGGAGTACTGCTGCCCTCTATGGACAGGAGCTGCACAGTCTTCACTTGCCAGTCTCGATAGAATCCAAAAGCGTCTCCACATCCTTGTGGGTGATGAATCATTTTTCACCCAACATTCCCTTTCTCGCAGACAAAACATCGCAAGCCTCACACTTCTCTATCGCTATTTACACGAAAAGTGCTCAGACGAACTACATGCCTTAGTTCCACCAATTCTAAACTTCACGGCCAAGATCCGCCACACCACGCCCATTGTAGCGAGCCAACCTCATTTCCTTCGTACTCCATTTGTCAATGAATGCCAAATGTTTCCTTATAAGGGAAAAGTGTTGTGAGTTCAATACCAGGCCCCAGCAGTGGTAAACCAAAACTTGGAGAATTGAGTTAAAGGGAAATAACTGAGACACCCGGAAGAGGCATGGCACGTGGAACTAGTACAATCTACCCCGGTGGACGAAATAAAGGGTTTGGTTAAAAATTCCAGTCACCTGAAGAAGGAGTGGACAACGGCTGAAAGGTTGTGAATATGACAATGAAGATGAGGATAACAGTTCGAATAATGTAAATAATAATCATAATACCTCATCTCAGAGATATTGACAAACTCGTAAAAATATATATGTTAAATTAACCCACGTAATGAATTCTATTCTTTGGAAGTTAGTTCCGATACAAACCTGTGTAGAAACGCCACTTTTTTTTTTTTGGTTCGCGTGACTACCAACGCGTAGCCCGCGAGGGGTTTTCAAAAGAATAAATCTCTTGTGGTCATCTGAATAAATTCGCCAACTGCGTATGAAAAATTCAGTCTTGTCGAAGCATGATTTCACTTGTTTTTGATCAATACATATCAGAAGCATTAGAGCATTTGTATTATTTTTTTTCACTTAATTAAAAACATTCCCTTGAGACCCGAGGCTAATTTTCTGCAAACAATGTGGCCTTGCAGATTTTATTTATCCAGGTTCACTTTACATTATCAAAGTAATTACGAAACTGTCTTAATTATTTTTTTTAATCATTTCATCCCAAGTAAGACAATAAAGCCACTAAGACGCAAGGGGTTACTGAGGGTTAGAGAATATGAGAAAAATTACTTTTAAAGAGAGAGGACAATAAAAGAACAAGAATTAAGAAGACAGGAGATAACTGCTGACATTACAATTAAATTTTTGAAGACCAATAAAATAAAATTTCGTCGTTGCTCGGATGTTCGGTTCATGGTATCCTCATCATCTTTCTGTAGAACAACAAGTCTCTTCTTCATCTGTAAAAGAGATTGTCCAGCATTCACTGTCATATAGGGGGATTTATATTACGTGGCAATTCAATTCTTTTTTCTTTACTTTTAACGAAATTTTCCTGTTTCTTAATACTTTACCAATGCTATTAAAGACAAAATCATTGACAGTCCGAATATTTCTTGGAACGAATGAGTTAGGACAGATGACCTGTCTACCTTTAAAAAATCAGCATATTAAATTTTAGAGCCGATGTGGGCGCGAACCAGTTTCTCTAAAACTCCTAACCATCTATGCATCCAAATTTTCACTTTATTTGGAAAAGTGTCAGCTAATTTTTTGAGAGTCAAATGTAAGCTTGAGTTAGTGTCGGAGGCTTATTGGACTAGTTCCATGGAGACATATTCGTGTTTTTTTAGATTTTTTATTTTTATTTTATTTTACTTTTTTTTTTATTACTATCAAGAATTCTTTGTCTCCAAATTGGTATGAAATTATTTATTGTTCTTGATGGCAATGAATAATAGCGAAATCAAAAAGGGAGTGTTAATTAAATGGAAATTCTGGAATTTTCAGTTGATAAAGATATATACTTATTATTCTTTCTTCCTTTCTTTCTTTCTTTCTTTCTTTCTTTCTTTCTATCTATCTATCTATCTATCTATCTATCTGAGTCTGTTCATATCGATCTATCTATCTATCTATCTATCTATCTATCTATCTATCTGTTCAGATCTATCGATCAATCTATCTCATTCTGTTCATATCTATGATCTTTGTTCATATCTATCTATCTGAGTCTGTTCATATCTATCTATCTATCTATCTATCTATCTGTCTGTCTGTCTGTCTGTCTGTCTGTCTGATTATCTGTCTCAGTATATTCATATCTGTCTATCTCTCTTGGTCTATTCATATCTATCTATCTATCTATCTATCTATCTATCTGTCTGTCTCAGTCTGTTTATATCTATCTCAGTCTGTTTATATCTATCTCAGTTCATTATATATATATATATATATATATATATATATATATATATCCCGGGTGTAACAGCAAAATTGTCTAAATTGAGTTAAAGCAAAATTGTCCAACTATTAGATTAAGCTCTCAACCGTTGTACCTTAGAAATGATTAAAGTTGACTTACTGGAATTTTCCGAGGTTTTTATAACACAATTAGACTCTACTTTGAGCAATAAGTAATGTATAATTACTCTCTAAGCTTAACTGAATATCGTGATGAAATCGATCATAAGCGAAATTGACATGTTCAAGTTTATGAAGTATTGAAATAAAAGTTAATATATATATATATATATATATATATATATATATATATATATATATATATCCAGGATCATTTTCCAACTTATTCAGAATGATCTTCGCCCTCTCTAAACTTCTAACTTTCTGTCCTGGACTAACAAGGTGTCACATGGGTTTCGCGTACGACTTCATTTTCAAGTTTTTTACACTGCTCTTTGGACTGTCATAGCTGAAACTCCTCTCTCATGTGCCAAACGTCTTATGGATTGAGTTGGATCTTTTCGAATGGATCTCTTTAGCTCTAAGTTGAAATGATGATCTCTCTTCCTGTTGTGACCTCCTGATCCAGTTTTCCTCACTACTGTTCCCTCTTTTTTAAACTTATTCACCGTTTTCTTAATGGTTCTTGAATGGACTTTGAAGATGGAAGCCAGAGTATGAATGTTTGTACCATTACTAAAGGCCTGAATGATCTTTTTCCTCTCACCATTGTTCAGTTGGGAAGGCATAGTGTGGCTGACACAAAACGATTTTAACCTGTTCTCTTTCTAGCTGAATAACTCAAAGGGTTTTTCATGATTCTTACGACAAATGCTGTCAAGATGGCTAAATGTCTTATCTGAATTAGTTTAGTGTTTTTTAGATATTAAACATTTTGTGGGGTGGATAATTATTCTGTTATACGATTTGGATAATTTTACTGTTAAACCCAGTATACATATCATTAGATCTATCTAACTGCGTTTTCCTGAGTGAAATGGCAATCGTAATATTAAATGTTTGCTTATAACGAAAATGTTCAATATTCAATGACCGAGCAGCCAATGCTACACAAGTTACGCTTTAGGCTGGGATCAAAGTGTAGTTTGTGTTCTCCACATCTTTAATGTTAATATTCCGGCATTTATTGACCGAGCAGCCAGCGCTACTATGAGTTGAAATTTATTAAAATTTACTCTTAAAATAATTTTTTAGGAAAATTGCTTTGTCAAATCCAATAACAGTGATCCGATACTGACGTAGATTTTCATCATAAAATTATATTTGAAGTAATGAGAAATATCATTATTATTTATTGGGGAACATAGAGTCGCTTCAGCTGGCCGCCTTCCCGGGGGGAAATTTCACCAGTACGCGTCACACTCTCCACTTTGGAGGACTCTTCCTTGGCCATGTCGTTGTTTGAAGATATTGTTGAGGTTTCTGTAACAAGTTAGTTTTTAAATGAGTAGCCTACTGCACAACTCCCAACCTAGAGGACCAGGGTGTGTCTTTCGTCTGGCTCCCACCCAACAGACCTGTTGAGCTTCTTTGCTCCTGCTAAAAGCCGAAGCCCCCGCATACATAGCTCTGGGGGGGGGGGTCGATGAAGCACGGGAGCCGTAAAGGTGACACACCATCAGGACGGTATCTTTCTTTTGTAGCTACTTTATGACTACTCGGGCTTTTCTTTTGTCCATTTTTAGATTTGTCGCACACCTTTGTAAGGGCCTCGCCTGTGTGATACCTTTTCACTCGAGATCCATCCAACCGATTTTGACCAAACTTGGCACAAATATTTGCACAATGTAAGAGATAAATCTTAGCCTAAAATCGATAATTTTAAAAATAAATCATAAGCTGATTACAAATCGATAAATTCAATACGGACGCGGTTCCGAGTGATCCTCTTCCTCACAGCCCATGTCGTGCCGGCTGCCTTCCCGGGGGCGGATTTTCACCAGCACGCGTCACACTCTCCACTTTGCAAGACTCTTCCTTGGCCATGTCGTTGTTTGAAGACATTTTGAGGTTTGTTTTTGTTTTTGTTTTGTTTTACGGCATATCAACCTCAATGGGTTATTTAATGCCGACAATTTTTATTGCTGGTAATATTTTTTTCTTCCAAAAATGTATTGCTGGTAATATTCTTTCTTTTAAAAATCTATTTCTGGTAAGAATTTTTCTTCACTGGCAATTTTTTTTTTTCAAAAATATATTAAAACCTATTTTTACACTTTCACAGTGTTTTGACCAGAGTTTGTGGGTTAACTATTTGCCCACAGCTGGGAGTCTAACAGGTGGTACTACCCCGGGTCAGGGTGGACCTGGGAACATCAGCAATTAAGAGGTGGTTCCACGCTCCTCAAAACCTCCTGATCAGAAGCCTTGCTGTTGGACGCAGTTTATCGTCTTACCGAGGACGCGGATGTAGTTTATCGTTATACTGTTACGGGACCTTACCCATAATAACATAATGGACTATTCCATACGTAATAAATACTGCGCCTCAAGAGGAAGCAGGGAGTTCAGTCTGAAGTCGGGCGACCGGCTGACCAGCTGATCGGTTGAACTCTCTGCCTTCGGGCAGGGAGGAACCCGAACGAGGCTATGCCGAAGGGCGGAGTCTCTTTCGGAGAGGTAAACTGACCCTGAACCCGTTTATACGGGTTCAAAGGGCATATTTTTGGCCGAGCCCACGGGTTCGGAGATTCTACGTTAAACCGGCCTTGTGCCACATGATGCCCTCGTGGTGGGGTGACTAAATACCGTTCAGTCAGAAGTCTGGAGTGAGGTCCGTCAGAAGTCAGTCAGGCGTCTGTCAGTCAATCAGAGCGAGTCAGTCAGTCAAGTCAAGAGTCGAGTTAGAGGCAATCCGAAACAGAGTCGCGTTCAGACAATTACTACAAGACATTGGAATAGTGATACTGATCGAGACTACATTGTTCTCTCTACTAAATCTGATTGTTCGTACTAACACTTTCTACTTCTCTGTATATATTCCTGTTTGTAATATATCTGTGTTATTCCATACCTGTGTTCGAGTTCTTCTTTATTGGTTCTACCTTGGAATATCACCGTGGTACAAGGAACCGGACCATAACATATACCCAGGACGTAACAAACTAGTTTTTGAGTAGGCCGTTAGCCTACTGCACAACCCTAACCTGGAGGACCAGGATGTGTCTTTCGTCTGGCTCCTACCTCACAGACCTCTTGAGCTTGGTTGAACCTGCTAAGAGCCGCAGAGGGGTCGTTAATGCACGCAAACCGTCCACGTTAAGGCGACACACCATCAGGATGGTCAACATCTTGATTATGTCCTTAGTTTCTCTTCTAGTTACATGCGATGTCCATTTTAGTTGTTGCTGCTGTTGGAAGTCCTCAACTAGTGTGGTTTGTTATTTGGCACAATTCTTTGTGCTTCTGTAGCGACAGTTAACGCATTTTAACGGTGTATTTGTAGTGAACAAAACAAGATCTAGATTTAAAATGCAAATGCTAAGCACTGACTCATTGATTTTGTTAGAAATTAAAAAAACTCGAATTTACAAACTTTGCTTAACACACACGCAAAAGCGAATCCAAAACAAAACTCTTAAAATTTCACACCTTGATGCGAAATGTTTTTCGGCCAATAGAAAACTAGGAAACATTTAAAAACAAAATTCAAATAATCCTCAATTCTCAGAAACAAATTCTTTTACGGACCTTTTCGCGACCCGACGCGAAGTTTGTAGTCGTCCAATGGAAAAGCCTGAATCATATCCGGAAGTGAATTTCCAAATGACCTTTTTAAGCCCCACAAATAAAATAAAAGACGGGCAAGTTCGCGTGTCACCAGAGAGAAGGAGACAAGCGTATTAACAAGTCCCTTGACAACGTCAAGCGAGCGTTATTATTATCTCTACCTTTCTTCTTCATCACCTTTATACTTGATAAACGAACGGAACATTTTAAGACTGAGCAATTACTTCAAAGACATTCCTACCCTACGATAACACTCATACATACATACATACATACATACACACATACGTTCCTGCCTATGTACACATAAACTCATTCTTGCAAGGACTACTATGAACATTTTGACGACCTTGTATCGACCAAAATACATTAATTTTATTTGTAGAGACCTTAATTGATTTATATGTATATAAATTTGTTGTTTCACTTTACAATTTGATTTTCTTGCTTTATACCCCTCTTAAGGTGGGCTATCTAACTAACAAAGCCAAATCAAACTAATCTGTTTCAACACTCATACACTTCACTATAACTGATAACCCACTATAGATATTCCTCGTTAAGGCCTACAGATTTCATTCGCTCGAGGCTATTTTAAAGAATCGATATGAGAAAGAGGTTTCACACAACTGACAGTTTAAATCTAGCGCCGGACATGACATCCATATGTAAATCTCGATCTGTCGAGGCTATTTAAGAACATCTCTAAAGATATATATATATATATATGAATTATATGGTGGGTAACTGTGTGTATATGAGGGTGCGCTTATACATATATGAGTGTAAAAAAAGGGTGGCCACTCGTATCCGAGGATTCCTGTCTACAATCTACAATCCCTGTTGCAGTCGTCTGCTCATGCACGTTTTGTGTTTGTTCAGCACCCACGGAGCCCATCTGTGGCTTATACTGCAGCTATGTTGAACGGACCTTAGTTACAGTTTCTGGGAGAGAGAGCGTTATATAGCCTGATCAACAGTCTGAACAAGGCCAGCACGCTCAAACCCTCGGTCACGATGACTTGTGACTTCGTGCTAACACAACCCATTCACTCACAAGGCTTCGGTCAGCCTTTGCTATGGTTGTCGGGCACTTTCCAAAGGTGCCGCACGCTGGGATCGTTCCCTCCCCCAAACCGATAATATTAAGAAGTAACCTTCCTGACGAATTGACTATGGTGCAATTCGAACCCAGTTTTCATCATCAGAAAACAAATGTTCTAATGGGTGTATGCAGGTATATATATATAGTGGTATGTATGAGTATGTGTATACGCGTATATATATATATATATATATATATATATATATATATATATATATATATATTTTTATAATTGTTTTTAAAATATATGATTCCTTCGCTACATAAGAGTTCTCATGTTTCAAAAACAAGAGCCAAAAACCTCAATATAATTATTGAAATTAAATTGAATTAAAGTATCAAGCCTGTTTCATACTCAAGCGAAAATTTAGGAATAACCAATCTTGAAATGTACGCATCATTGTAAGCATGTTCATTCGTAAAATTAATATGGAAACGTCTGGAGCGACCTCCGGATTATTTACCTAACGTGTTCTTTCCTATTTTTCTATATATTTGCACATATATATATATATATATATATATATATATATATATATATATATATATATATGTATGTGTGTGTGTGTGTGTGTGTGTTTTACAAGCATAGACACATAATTCTCTTTAACTGTCGAGCCAGAGCAGTTAATGTGATTTATGACCACCAATTTTACTAAGACATTCCCAAAACACCTCTTCCAGGACAGTTCTGTCGGTCTTCTTCTAGTTGAACTGATGAAGTCAAAAGACATAACCTAACTTTTCTGTGGCGAAACGCATCTTTGATGAAATAATTTTCCCCTTTGTTTCATCATTGTCATATCTATCTATCTATCTATCTATCTATCTATCTATCTATCTATCTATCTATCAGTCTGTCTGTTTATCTATCTAATATCCTCCTATATCTCTCATTCTGTTCATATCTATCTATCCCAGTCTTTTCAATCTATCCTTCTCAGTCTATTCATATCTATCCCTCTCTCTCTCTCTCTCTCTCTATATATATATATATATATATATATATATATATATATATATAATTCTCAGTCTGTTCATATCTATCTATCTATCTATCTATCTATCAGCCTGTCTGTTTTTCTATCTACATATCCTCCTATATCTCTGATTCTGTTCATATCTATGTATCTATATATCTATCTTCAGTCTATTCATGACTATCTATCTATTCCAGTTTTTCAGTCTATTTGCGACTGTTTTTTTCTTTATTGACAGCGTAGTATTAAACATACAAGAACGACAAACCAGAATAACACTAATAATAATAATGTTGTGTCTATGTGCGAGTTTGTATGCTTGTCTTCTGCAACACTTATGGCATTACGTCCTAAGTTATCTTTTTTCCCCTTGAACTGTTAATCTTGGTTAACACACTACAGAACCGGAAGTTGTATTTATTTTACTTCCTTCTCTACCGGACCGATCTCTGATAAGATCGAAAACCGATCTACTCTTATCTAATCTCAAATGATCTAATGGCATTTACTCACCTTTTATGATAAAAGATCCCAATCGTAAATATTTACTTCGCAGTTTATGGCACACATATCAACAAGAATCCCAACTGCTTAACAGTGGCCTCTTTTTAAAAGCGTTGACAGGCTTGGTGAGTAGAATCTACTTGGCGAATTCATTTTATAAAAAAACAAGAATGTCTTTATGCCATTTCAAGTTACAAGTACCTTCTTAGCAGTACAGTGTTTCTCCTGTTTTTATCAATGGTTAAAGTTAAGATCTTACACCGAGTAAGTAGTTAGAGTGAGAATGTCCTTCCTCACAAATAACGGTACTACTAAAATAGATTGGTTCCTTCGTAAAAAAATAGGAAATCATTTTTCAGGGAAATCATTTTTTCAGGGAAATCATTTTTCAGGGAAATTTTGTAGATTATACTTCATTAGACCTACAATCAAAACCTATTCTAGTCTACAGTTAACCGTTATCTTTCACAGGTATCCACAAAAACTGTGTCTCTTCCCCTCTCACGATCGACCTCGAGTGGTTGTTGGAACTTGTACAAGGTTAACATCATTGACAACAAAAATCAATTGGTGAAATGTAAGACCTATTCGAACAGCCTCTTCCCATAAGCTGCTACTTTATGAAACCGACTCCCAAGAGGATGCTTCCCCGATAACTACAATATTAACTTGTTTATGTC